GGGGTCTCGGGATCGTTCCTCTCTCAGCCAATTTTTAGTGGCTTGCAGGCAACAACAGATGATTGAGAGACTTGAATGGAAACAAAAAACCAACACACGGGTGACAACGGCCAAGGGGTAAAATGCAACGGAGTATACCGTGAATCAGCGTCAAGACATTTATTTTTGTGGCCTACATTCTTGGGGACATCGTTATCCTGTGCGAGTCGCCAAACCTTTTAGACTTCTGCATTTTCTGCACATCATAGGCACATGTGTCGTTTGCAGTGGATGGTACCTCTCTCCCCATTGATGCCAAGATTTCTGGCATTCGTTGCGGTCTGAGCTATGATTGATTGATATCCTCCCAGACCTTCAAAATTGAACTTATGGAGGACCTCACAGGAGCGCCGCCAGCTTACATGTCATGAACTGTTAGCTTGTCCTAGCGCGTGGATTCTATATTAAGAGCTGCCTCCCTATTGATTGCCTTTGTAGCGACGCTGCACCGCGGTTGGCCACAATAATCAACCTCGTTAGTGGATAGGGCTAAAGCATACGTGCTGACCGAAAGGCGAGGATATTTCAGGCCATCCAATAAAGATGACTGAGTCCATCTGGACACGTTCTTCGCCGCCAGCTTTATGCGTCTGGCGTTGTTGTCTTCGATCCGCCTATTCCAATAGGGGGGCAGCTTAAAACCTGATCCGACGCAGACTGTCAAGACATTCGAGGCAGTCCTTGGACCTTTGGTACTCGATCTACGTCGGCTGGAGGATTGGGTCGAACTTGTCAAACGTGTTGCTGTAGAACGTCAGATGTGGGGGGGGGGTACAATTCACGACATCGCCGAGGTCGGCTAGATCAGGCGAGATTGCAGCCGTACCCATCAAAAGTAATAAAGCGCACACGATTGCATGTAGCCACGAGGGCTTAATGTCTATAATCAGTTTACGCCACACAGGCGGGACATGCTGTACACTGGCGGCAGTCTAGGTTTTCCTCTTATTTCGTTTGCTGCTCCCTGCTCTAGACTAAAAACCTAGTTTGTAAGATGCTTATGGGTGTTAAGGGGACACAGAGTATGCTTCTAATATGTTTTTTGGGAAAAATACCTGAAAACAGAACTTGAGTGATAATTTCGGTGGTTGAGAGGGGCGCATTCTGGAAATAGAGGATGTGTCCAGATGCTGGCACATTTGCGGCTCCGCATCCAAGTTAGTGGATCAGAGTTAAGACAAAGGAAGTCGAGTTTTATTGCCAATGCCCATACCACCTCGAGATATATACAAACGGCAAAAAAATATCAGCCCACTTAAACGAAGGAATCTCTATCTACATTATTATTGTACTTTAGGGCACCAATTCGCCCAGATCAGCTAATTTGACATAAAGGAATTGATTAAACATCTGGTTTTCTTAAAATAGCCTTTTTGTTAGGAGATTGATAACCATGGTCAACATCGGACATAAAATAAAATCTATAGTCCGGCTAAATCTGTTTATTAAAACTCTCGCGGGTAAATTACCATACTTTCAATGAAAAAGTGACTCAGATGCGTAAATGGAGTCCAGGACATGTATTAGCATAGGAAATCGCACGGATATATCCCAACGTCTATTTTCGCTAAAATTTACTGATATTTCACTTAATATAGTTACGCAAACACAATTTCTGGACAAGGACATTTCATTGGAGGATGTGGGTGAGCGAACAAAATGCGCCACGTTAAAGGCGTCCAAAATTATCTAATCTGTCTCCGTTACCATATTTCATGAGATAGGTCACGTACTGTAATTAGCGAGATCATTCTGAACACTGTAGACAAATTCTGCGATGCAAGAATCAAGACGCAAAGTCAGGGAACGGATGAACGAGAGAGAGAGAGTCGGGATGTTGCCCTTCCATGATAACATCGAGGTCACCAATTTATTGCGACCAAAGTAAAATGCATATTAAAGCAACCACAACTCCAAAACCCAGGCCCGTTTAAGAGAATGGGAAAAGTACAAGTACAAGTACAAGTACAAGTATTAAGCGTTTGTTCTGTATAAAAGACACATCTCCTGGTGGTTTCCACTTTATTCTCAGGAGCTGGACGGAGGGCCGTATTTACTGGGCCTATCCATAACTAACAGAAATAAGACTGATGACCCTGACGAGATTCATATTAGTGTGCACAAGGGGCAGGTGGGGTATGTCGCCTGAGCTGCCTGCAAGGGATACCGACTTCTTCTTAAGCGGTGCAGTCCGAGCTGGCCGCCAAATTATCATGAGGATTTCTCGGACCATTCAGAGAGTACAGCCCGTGCGGTTTGGGTAGGCTTTTCGTTGTTTGTCCATGGATGCAGCACTGTTTGTCCGCTTAATAGATACGGCGGATAGGTCAACTAAAAAACCGAATCGACATGGTACGCCAAGACAGCGGAGTAATTCCCGCAGTTCCGGTATGTTGTTTACGTCACCAGAGAAGAATGCGAATTAATGATACATGACTGTCAAAAACAACAGGTTATTTGATGATCAGCTCGAAGCCTTTGACTTGAACATTGGAAAAATTTCATTCCTATATATTTGAAGTGGTCGCTCGATAGTCATTGTTAACAAGCAAGCATGAAGTGTATAAATGTCGGTTCATTCGACCAACACACCCTGTTTCACAGAAACAGCTGAAAGTGGTAGAACACTCGCCAATCGCGTTACGAATGATCTGGGATGGCCGTTTTTTGCCTCCGACATAAACGAGTTGTGGGTCGTTGGGGAAGTTCTAAGTTGAGAAGCTGGGAAAGTCTTAGCGAATGTCACTGAAAACGTGGTTCTGCAGTTTGGTATGCATCTTTCCCGAAAGATAGCTAGATGAACGAGTCTTCACTCTCGAATGCGGGTGCTTTGGTCTTCGGTTGGCTAGGGATACTGGTGCCCGCAGAAAACCTTTTCAGTACTGCTCACTTCTTCACTTCGGGCCTCAGAATAGCATACCCTCCTCCTCGGGTGGTCATTCGGCGAAGTAACCTCCCCTATGGGCTCAGTGATATGAAACTTGAAAGGTCAATGTCATATCTCGTCCGTGCTTCCTGGGGATTCTTTGCATCGAGACGTCCACTTTGCTGCTTAACAACACACCCAAAAATCCAAAATAAAGCCTCAGTTTTATCACCCACAACCAAGTCCTTTTAAAGGCTTAAACTATTGACAAAGAAATAATCCACGTGTCAGCAACAGAATGGTCGACCATCGGTTGGTGGCCTACTTTTTTGCCCCCTAACTTTCGCACAAATCGCCGCTATAACTGGCTCTAAGAGTGATCAAGTAGCCACTCCACCGTTTTGTCCGTAACTGTGGCCGCCGCTTTGAGATCGTAAATTCAAGGTGTGTCTAAGTATTAAGTGTCTCAGTGCGTCCGTGAATACGCGAGTTTTTTATTTCGCGTCCCTAGTACAGTCACACAAGTGGTCACTGGTATTGGCCAGTGGAATGGTTATGCACAAAGAGGTCACACCATAGGAGGACACTACCCGTTCGCCTACGTTTAGGCCCTCTGCGGATTTCACGGGGATAAACTTCGGTGAAGTGGGATCAAGGAGCACCTTCCTGCTTGGGCAGACAAAAGTAGGGACAATGTTTTGACCCCTACCGCTGACGGGCCCGAGTTCATGTTTGTCCGGCTGCCCGCGTGTTCATTTAATCCTATGGCATACGACGATAGCGAAGGAATTTTCATACGCAACCCTTGGGACTAGTCTACTGAAACAGGTGGGAAACCACCTGCAGACAGGCGGGGTAAATGGGAATGCTTAGGTATAGGATACCGCATATGGCGCGACAGGCAGGAAAACTGTAGATTGGATGGCGGGGCTTACGACAAGGGGAAACGAGGCGAGAAGGACCCAGGTGACAAGGGGGCCTTGGTCAGCAGTTCTCTAATAGAGCTCTGACTTTTCGGGTCAGCCGTGCAATCTGTCGGAAACGCGGACCAACGAATCATGGTATAAGCATTCAAATAAGTAGACCTAGTGGTGAAATACGGTGTCGGAAGCGGTGGCGCACGACCCGCGTGGAAATTGTGTGCCTAACTCTTCACAAGGCGCCAAGGTGGCCTGCTCTATCGGGATCATAATTCCTAGGGGATTATCTCCCCGTAAACTGGACTTAATCTCATAGATATCGACACATCGTTTAGCCTTGCGATACAGGAATTACGACAGCGACCATCTTTTCCGTGTAAAAGCGGCTCCTTACCGCAGAAACAAATCATTAACGTTGTGGCACCAACAGACTGGCTTTTTTATGATGATAATCCTACAGATGGTCCGGAATGCAGAAGCACAATTAAATGTTTCCACACCAAAATCCCGTACGGCAGCGCGCGAAACCAGTGCAGCCCTCAGAAACACACTGACAATGAGAAATCCACAGTTGGGAAAAAAGTCATACAACCTACTCATCCATCCCAATCTCTAAAAGAGGCAGATTGTGGAAAATTATTTGAGTTCCATCTCTCTCCATATCGCCTTCCCGTCATGCAGCGTTTACATGCGAAATTTCCAGGCTTATCGATCGTCTGATCCGCTAACCACAACAAGGCCTGCAAGCTAATATCGAACTGACGCAGAGAGTTAAGCTAGGTTCATCTAGTGCGCCCATAAAAAGGAGGGCAGCTTGGGGGACAACAGTTAAATCCCAAGAAATGAGACTAGCTTAAGCTGTAGGTTCGGAAAAGCCGAAAGAAACCCTTACGTAGGAGTAGCAGTGTGCACATGCCTCAATACTATTCGAGAATACGAAGCCGGCAACTCGAAATTTTACTACTAGAAAAGAAAGACAATATGAAGAAATGCCTCATAAGAATAACCGGATATGCACTATCACCGTTTCATAGCGCATTTCTCGAAAGAGGGGGATTGTGGCCAAGACTTCATAGACTGTTCCGCCGGCCAGTTGAATTTATACATATATATATAAGGGTGGCCGTCTGTCCTTGCTGCCGAGGTGAGGGGATGAAAAGAGGATTGAAATCAACTTAGAAGTCTTTGTCTTCTAAGAAACTGTAATGAAAGACGAATTCCTCCCTCTTCCTCTGACTCATTGACTTAAAATCGTAGTAGATATAGGTCCCCGATTCGTACTCGTCAGTGATTTGTTTGGGCTCTTCGTGGCGCTGGAACCACATCAGGTACTTCGTGTGAAACCTCCAGGACATACGTTTTAGGGCCTTAGCTGCAAGGTACTGGGCCTTGGTACCCTCAAAGTAGTAAAAGAGGAAGAAGAGGGTTTGCGCGTCCAATTTCATAAAATACTCCTCCGAGTCACTGCCCTTGTATGGCTCAGACGGATAGTAGTCGGGAGGGATTACTGGCTGTTTGTACACGAGCATGCGTGATTTCTCTGTGTCGCAGGGGTGCGGTAGGCGTCTGTAGGCACTCTCCAAAGCCTGCATTTGGCGGATTAGCTGTAAAACAAAGGTTTTACTTTTGAGGATGGAGTGTAGGAATTCATTTAGCAGATTATTGGACAAGCACCCAATCTGCTCCCACAGATTCATCAATTGGAGGCTGGGGAGGTAAATTTTGGTTGCCAATTCAGTGACTAAATACAGAAAAGACCAGATTATCATCTATAGGCTTTACTTTTCACGGTTCCCATAAAGGCGGCATGGGAGGATCAGGCACGTCTAACATGTAAGGGTTGCCTCAGTTTAGACGCCGCATGATCCACATGACTCGAAATATCAGGCTCCAATATGTATGGTATGCCACCTCGTACCTGCATTCAGGAGTTTGCATGCTAACTGTACATCAGGTCTAGCTTATTGAACACGTTCATAACATAAAATCGCATAATAGGGGTAAGTGTAGGATAGGCAGAATTTACGCCTCACTGCACATCGCAGGAACGCTATGGCGGCCAGGTGATTGGCTGTCACCGGGCCCAAATAATTTCAGTTGCCGACCGAAAAACGTGTTATGTTTAGCTAATCACGAAAGATGAGTTGGTCGAGATTTAAAATAGGTCGTTAGCAGTGGGGTGGAATGCAGACGACGACATAAGCTTTCTTTTGGCGACAGGCGCCGACGTATTCGGACGCAACTCACATTCGAGGCGGGCGGACGACAGTTTCGAAACCAAGGTGAAAAAGGGTTAGTAGGGTAGTTTCAGTATTCAGTATGTGATAAACTTTGACAATCGTGAGATAAACACGGGTTTAGAAGGGACGAGCAGAAAGTTTCACCAGATGGCGAAGTAAAGGCAACATGGATAGATCTGACATCCGGCAGTGCCAAACTGGCTACTCCGTACACGGTTAACGACGTTACCATACTTACATAAAGTAATAATAAGGGGTACCAAAATCACTATCACCCCTTAAGCGAATCAAACAGTAGGTGAAAAGACTGTCTCAGTTTGCGCTATTTAAATCACCGACAGACTAAAGGGCGCTCAGAAGGGGGAACTAAATACATTCCGAATATGAGATGCCCTTGAAGCTGGAGAACCACATCGTGGTTCTTAAAGGACGTATTGGCCTGTTATAACTGCAAAAACTCAATAAGATAGACATTGAGTCACGCATCTAAGGGTTGGTTACTTGGATAACAGATGATTCCGCGAGGTAGGTGAGGCAGCCGCACTAACACTCAATCTTGGTGATCCATACAATACTAGCTAAATCTGTGGCCTAAAGGTCTGTAAGCGTCTGGTATGCCAGGATCAGCAAACCATGGTCCTCGCAGTCTGGTATGCGCTGGCAGCTCTGACACCTGGTTCCCTGTCGATAGACACGCTCGTGCTCCCACTGGGTATACAGGTTGTGAGCATGGATGTCCAGTCATGTTCCTCCTTCTGACCCGTTGTAGCTTTGTTGTTGTTGGTTAAAATCCTGGTCAATTGTTGTGCGGACCAGGGGGTGTGGTGTGGAGCGGCAAGGTGCGGGCTTGGCGGGGCCATCCACCTGCACCCTCTCCCACCCCCGGTCTTTTTGACTATCTTGACACCAGGTTCAGGCAGAGGAGAGGTTCTTTAGTTAAAAAAATGGCGATGTTGTGACGCTAACTCGTCTCCAAGCCTACACAACATAAAATGTTTCTTACAGAGGCCTCCTGGGAGTTCTCACTTTGGGCAATAAAAGACCCCGACCGTTCTTATGAATAATCCTAGCCGTACAAAGGGGACTGTCATTCTGCTCGATAGGAACATGTCAGTTCATCGTTTTAGTGTGCAAGATATCACAACAGACCCATAACGTCGGTGATAAAAGACATGAAACCCATACCTCGGGGGGGAAAGTGTGCTTCGGTTGATCGAGTTGACGATTACGGAAAGGTGCGGCTGAATCGCGTGGATGCATGACGACACAAGGCGCGTTCACTCGCTGCTGTTGTTGTTGCTGTTGCTGAGCTACTGCAGCCATGACAGCAGCCTGCTGATGATGTACTGCCGCGACTGCCGGATCAACAGCCACCTTTTGTTGGGCCGACAACATATTAGGTGGAACTGAACTGCCGATCGGTAAGGTTGAATTTCCAGAGGCGGTTGGGAGCAGAGAAAGTCGTCCCATTGCTGAGGTTACTGCCATCGTATCAGAAAGTTCCTTGGGCCGAGACGGGTGAGAGGAAAATGAAGACGGAGCAGGCATAAGGTTAAATACGCCTGGTTTGCCGGATCCAACAGCCCCCGGCGCAGACGCGGAAGGTACAACCGGGTCGGCATTTATGGACGGCAGTGTGCTCGAAAGGGCAGTGTTGACAGCAGCTGGCTTCTCGGACAAGTCTTCGGACGGCTTTTGTGAAGTGTCGGCAAGGCCTGAATCACCCTTACTCGAAGCATTTTTCCCATCGGTTTTTGACGGAGTGGCTGCGGGGGTCGTTGCCTTGGGATCCGTTAAATGCTTTTCTGCAGCACTGGCATCTTGTTTGCTACCGCCTTTGCTGGACTTGTTCCCCGCCTTTGACTCAGCTGCAACTTTGGCGTATTTTTCTCGATGAGTCTCACCAGTCTTGTCTGTGGACTCTCCCTCCGCTTTGTTCCCCTTTCCGCCAACAGCAGCATCGGACTCCGAATGGGAGTGCAGACGCGAGCCACCAGTTGGCTGGCTGGAAGCGGACTGCGCTGCACTTATGGATGCACTAGTAGCACCTGCAAAAGACTTAGCAGCGATGTTTTTATTGGGCGATGGAACAGAGGTAGAACTGGCGAAGAAGGAAGAGGGTGCCGTCTGGTTTGCAAGGTTACTCCCAGCTCCCTTAGCCGACTTAGGGGTGTTAGCAGACGTTCCGGATCGGCCGGATTGGCCATCAGAAATGTTCTTCACAGGTGTACTTGCTGAGGAAGCAGACGGCGGTATAATGTTTAGTTTGTCGTCAGTAAGTTTCTGTCTTTCACGGGAGGAGGACGCATTTGAAGATGTCGATGAACCAATAAGAAGAACAGGAACGTCCACCGAATCGTCCGTAGTTTTTGACGATGAAGCCTGAAGCGTGCTATTGTCGTGATCGATAGCCCCGGCCGTGTTAGGCAAATTTATGGGAACATCACTGAGGTCTTCCAGGTGCAGTTCCTCGTAAAGGGTTTGATACTCTTCCACCGCCACATCATCTATACATTCTATGATGTACTCCACCTGGTCCTTGAGCGAACGAACTTTGGCGCAATCTAGGCGCTCATTGTCCAAATGCCTCATGACGGTTTCAAGTTTCTCTATATGAAAGGAGCAGAATTCTAACTTTCTCCGCTTCTCCTCGGTGGTTGCAGCCCTTTCCTTATCAGCCCGCTTTTTCTTTCCCGTTGTTGCCAAGTTCTCCAGTTCGAATTCGTACTTTTCAGACTGCGTCTGAAGAGATAGAATGGACTGTTTTAACCATTCATCCAGTTCCTCTTTTTCTTTTTGAAGTGGGTCTTTCTTGGCATCGCTGGAGAGGAGACCTTCCTTGGAATAGGCCTTTGTTTTTGTCTCCTTTTCTATCACCTTAAAACGCTCCATGTCCTGTTCAATAACTCTTCGAGCCTCCAGCAAAGCACGTTTGTCCTTGATTTCATTATACGTAAGCCACGTTTTTATTTGGTCTCGCAACCTCTGAAGCTTTTTGATCTCTTTTTTCAGATCGGCTTCAAACTTTTCTTTTTGTGTTTGGCTTCCTGAACTCTCGAACTTGTCCAAAATTTCCTGCAATACAAAGGAACAAAAGTGTACGAACAGGGATTATAGGATCTGCAAAACAGAAAGTACCAATTTCTCCCACGGACGTCGGAAACAAAAAACGAGGAAAGCGCAAGACTTTGAATAGCCACCCTCACACCAAGATATGAAATGTCTTACGATTGTGGCAGTTAAAATGTAAATTGTGAACTGTGGGAGAAAGGCCGCGGTCAACAAAGAAGGGAGCATTTTGTATCCGAGGCATATACTCAAACGAGTACCTTCCAGCATCACATGGTGCATGCTCTGCAGAATGGGTTGAATAAACTCTCAAAATTAACTGAGAGTTTCAAAACAAAATAATGTGAAAGTTCGCCTTTAGCGTTTGTCCAGCCTGTCAAAAAGCACACGAAAAACTCTGAAGGTGGGAACTAGGGAAGTGAACAAAATGAAGATCCGTCATAGAAACAGCGAGGGCGGTCAACTACGGCCTGGTTGTCCTTGGTGTCAAACCATTTAATGGCTCAGAATTGCATGGATGATCAGCCAAAGAGGTCCACTAGTGGTGAAGTTACCAAGTCAATTATATATTTTACTCAGCAACAATCCTTTGGACCGAGATACCAGTGTCGTTTATGAAGCAGGCCGTAAGAACTACTCGGACTACCAGTTTCCCACTTAACAAGTGTGTCATGTTAGATTTCGGTTGAAAACAGCATGACAACTTTTCTCCCAGGAACTTAAAACTTATAGCAACATTCTTCAGATAAGAAATAGGTTTCCGCCATAAAGCAAGAAACAACCAGATGATAACTGGAAGTTTCCTCTGGAAGACCTCGTTTTTGAGATATACTTAATTAAGAAAAGCAGGAAGAGCAGTTAAATGAAGTAAAACCGTGCGATCCAAGAATTCGTGCGTAAACATACATACATACATACATACACACAGATACTGTCTGAAGTTACTTTAGACTGCAGGAAACGACTACGGTGAGCATTCTGCAAGATTTATAAAACTAAGTAGGTATACAGAGCCGGTAAATGCAGATGCGTCACATAAGTTGAGCATAAATTAAAAACCCGGCAGAAGTGATTTGAGGAGGGGTACGGTAGTCACAAATACGTTCTAGCGAGGGAAGAAGTAGAAAGCCTTGTCTGTGTTTGAGGAAGTCACAAACACTACTGACACATCCGGCTTAAGAGATTGATCTTACAAGAGAGGCCATCACTCGCATCATTGAGGGCACTTTTTTGAGGCACAAACCAAATAAGCACAAATTACTGGAGGTTATCTTCTAACAATACTACGTTTGAAGCTGACCGAAGGGTAACGTTCGTAAAGGAATCTCTAGTAATTTTCGGTGAGAACGACCACGTCACGGTAACATCTCACGATAACATCCTGTTTTTGTGGCTTGTCTCCCGGGTAATGATGTATTGAGGACAAAAAGTCCAAAGTTGTATATCCATTAGGTTGGTATTCAATTAGTGCGAGGTAATCGCAAGGGCCAGATGAACATTCAACAGCCTTCTATGTGTAACCCCACTGCTTAGTTCAGTTACAATGATAGAAAAGATTCCGTTGTATCCAGATTCATGTCTCCAGGGAGGATTCGCTGAACACGAACCTAGGCAAGAAAAATGAGTATGCATGCACATGATTTTAATTGCGGGATACCACGAGTCGCCAATCAGGAATCCTCCCTCATACGTAGAAGTCTGATGTGCAGCAGGTGACAAATACGATGTCCAGCGTGCGCACCACAGCTAACTGAGAGCAGGCACGGTGACTTGCGCTTGAATTAGTTTATAGTTAGTGAAGACTTGCACTGCATCTACCACACTCTCTCCTCCCCTACCTGAGCCCAGTGTCAAGACAGAGTCAGGTGACCGGAGGCAGAGGGCGCAGGCGGACGGCACAGTCGAGCCCGCACCTTGGCGCTCCACTCCCCACCCCCTGGTCCACACAGCAAATGGCCACTTCCTTATCCAACAGAACAGTGGGGGAGCGGCAGGGGTCCCAGTGTGCGCGACAACTACCGGCAGCCGAGTCTGACACCGTAGCCTGAAATTTTGACATTTGTTATGGTGCGCAATCCAATAACGCCCGCCAGAATCCGATATGGCCCCGTATTGATCCAACGCATCTCCCGCGTAGCTCGGTGACAAATACAATAAATGGGCACTGAACACAAACCAAAAACGGAAAATCGGAACATTTGGGACCTGGACCAAATCTTGGTGTGACGGATGGAACTGGCATAAAATTCACATTGTCTGCGACTGTGAATAGGGTTGTCAGAAAAATTTCACAACCAAAAGCGGTGGTCTCTTGAGATATTTGACAAGAATGGAAGTAAAATACGAGGAAAACATATGGAGAAATGCCCTTCATACTGGTATAAACAAGGTACTGCACAAATAACTGGGGATTACCTGACAAGATAGAAACGGCAAGTGGTACCATGTGCGCCCAGGTGATAACTTTTATCAACCTCAACAATCCCCCGGTCCCGAAAGGAGTCTAGTGTCCTTTCTAAACTGCAGATTATGTTACTGCGTATTTGGTAGCAGAATGGAGGCTGAAAGACATTAACTTCACATTTGCAGTGACATATATACTGAACGCAAGTTGACAGACGATCGGTAGGAAGCACAGTAACCGTAACGCATGCCGCCATTCCTTGTGTGGTGAACAATTCGAAAGCAAGCGTCTCGTGGCCTTAAAACGCCTACCAAAACATTTCTCCATTAAAGACGTGTACACCACGTAATTTTCCGAAGGCGCGCTTCGCTGCAAATACGGTTGTGTAGCTCAATTTGTGAAATACACTAAATGGGTCGGGAAACTGAGTCTAGCGTTGGCTTATCGTCAGGCAGTGCAGTCAGACAGTTAAAAGTTTCCAAAGCACACAAGTCTTCAGAAAGAAAATGTGCATGCGAGTTTCCCTACTGGCCACTTGGACATAGCATAAGGGGATACTTTTACTTCGCCGCCGATGTATTTATGTATCCCAAAATTGTGAATAAAACCGCTCAAAGGATTACGTGGACGTAAAAAAAGGCCCTAAAGACGCAGAGGGACTTTGGTCACAGAAGATGAGACTTTACCGCGCGACGTTATTCGCTACACTGTTGAGCAGGAGGACCCTGACATTGTGCAGTCAAGTTGCCGGTTACAGTGGCTCCAAAGCTACCGTGGTGACGCAGTCGCGCGAACAGTGCTGATTTCGTATGCACACGCACGCACTGTCTCAAGGAATAAATCACAGACATCCCAGATCGAGAGGGCTGCTAAGTGCTCGGGGTTACGAACTGCAGAAATGCTCCTGTAGGGGTGGGGGACTGCCTGTTCGACCACGTAACGTGCATTTGCAGGTTTAGGCGCGAGCATCAATGCGGTCTAATTACCGGGAAAGGGGGCAGCAGTCTAGGGCGCCTACTACTACCAAACTCCAGATCGTCCCTGCAGCTGCTATGCTATCAGAGGGTCAAACTAAAATTGCAGCAAAACATCACCTAGTGTAAGTAAACCCTCAAGCGCAACAAAAGTAAAATTCTAACCTGAAAAGAAGTGCGACCTTCTTGGACCCTCTTTAAGGTTCTGTCTATGTCACACTGTAACTTCCTCTTGTCTGCCATCAGATAGGCCGATAAACATCAGATATACCAAATGAACCGCGGATAAAAGAGACGGTTAAAACAAAACCAGCTTTCTTTGAACACTGAATACCCATATTGCTTTTATCGAAGAGGACTAATTCCCTGCGACGTCTTCGTGGGCATCAAGTACTCGATCGAGACGTTAAGAAGGCATCGTCTACAGCCGTCGCCAGGGTGCAAACTTCATATGTATCCTTTTGGAACTTCCCGCAGATTCACGGGTAAAGTTTGCATTCTAACCAATCTCATTTCGCGCAACATGTTGTTTTCTCACCGAAAATTAGCGCTCTGGATCAAACCTCTGTTGTTTCTGGGGGAACACCTTTACTTTTAAATGTGTTCAGTTTGAATTTACTGCCGGACATTCCAACATCCTTGGCAGACTCGATGCCTGATGACGAAATCAGGAATTTCTGATGCTAACTTCAGTGCTCCTTTGGGTTTCCAACTAGTAGGGACCAAAAAAATTAAAGGATATTTCTCTGACCATCATATCGGGACATGCATTGTCATCTTAGATCGGCCCAAGGTGATTTGTACGCGCCAAGACGTCAGTGGAATCGCTACTTTGTGGAGCACCCAAAATCAGTGAGGAATCTCAGCAGAAAATGGCCAGCCTTGCCAAACGAAAGCCGCTGAGCAATACAGAAGATCTTTACTAATGTCAAATTTATTTCGTTCATTTTACCTGAGGTATATTTCCGTTCCTAATAGTGGATAACCTACTTGCTAGAACGGAATCGGTTCGTTCCAATTTACTGAAAGAAAACAGACATCAAATTGTAGAAGAGGGGCGCTCGCCGATCGTTTCTACGGAACTCACTAGTCCCGTTGTGCTTTACGGGCTCTATCTCGCGCCCAACTAGCAGCCTCACAGCGGCTCACGGTATTACCGACAAAGACAAGGGAGACTGGAATGGCCATTACTGGTTTGTTAGCCGTAGTCAGCCTGGAGCACCTGGGGGCTCGATCCCGGACATTTCTCTGGCCGAAGGCCGTCATTCTGACAACCTACGCGATGCAAACGTGCCAGCTCCTGAGGCTGCTCGAACCAGTGGCCGCTGTCTAGAAATCTATTACACTAACTGTCGGAGTCTTCTCAACAAGCTAGAGGAACTCAGATTACTTGTCTCTGAACAGAAGCCACGCATAATTGTCCTAACAGAGACATGGTTGAATGAGGAAATTAGTAGCAGCGAAGTCAGAATTGAAGGCTACCAACTGTTCCGTTGTGACAGATTTCACCGTAGAGGAGGAGGCACAGCGATTTATGTGTCAAATGAAATTGCGTGCTGTCAACGAGAAATTTCCGATGGTGCGCCCCGAAATTTTGAAATAATTTCATGCAAGATATGTATCAAACAATTACCGACACTGAACCTGTGTGTTGTCTATCGGCCTCCCAGCTTGAATAAAATTGCGGATGTGGAATTACTTAGCAAACTAGAGTTGTTATGTAAGCAGAACTTACTACTTCTGGGTGACTTCAACGCTCCAGGAATAGACTGGAACCTTCCCCTAACAAACGCCCCGTCCACGTCATTTGACCACAAGCTACTACAACTCTCCCTGAATGAATACCTCTTTCAGCAGACAAAATTCGGAACAAGAATGAGAGAAGGACAACGGTCTAATTGTTTAGATCTCGTTTTCAGTAAAGAAGAAGGACTCATAAGGGAAGTGAATCCACAACCTCCACTCGGTTTAAGCGATCATATTGCTTTTGCCTGCGTGTGCGCTCTCCTATCCAACCAACAACCAAAAATCAAGACGCGCAGAAATATTTGGAAGGGTGACTTTAACGCAATGAGACGCACTCTTTTGGAGGAAACCTGGTTGGTCAACACAGAAGATTCAGACGAATTCTGGCAGTACTTTTGCGGGATTATAGAGCGTCTGATTGATTCCCATTGTCCAAGAAAAATGACAAGACCATGTATGCGACCGCCGTGGGTCAATCCGACGACAAAAAAGACCATGAAGAAGAAACAGAGACTCTGGAAAAAGCATTTGCAACTTCGAGATCCAAGGTCACTCGCCGAATATAAGGATCAGCGAAATAAATGCCGTAAAGAAATACGGGTTGCTAGAACTTCTTTCGAGCGTCGACTGATAGCAGAATCCATTACATGTCCCAAGAAGTTTTACGGGTACATCCGCAGTAGGAGGAAACATAGGGACGAAATTGCGTGTCTAAAGGATAGCCGCGGTAACTTAGTAGTTGAAGGGCCACAGAAAGTGCGATTATTGTCTCAGTTTCTTCAATCGGTTTTTACGGAGGAGTCCCTAGAAGACAATCAGCAGTTTGAAATGGACCGGGACAGCCGGGAGCTTCAAATGCGCCAAGATATTGCCGTCATTAAAATCGTCGCTTTTTCTGTCAAGGAGGCAGACGCGTCCTCAGTCAAATAAAACCTGATAAGTCTCCTGGACCCGACGGAATTCCCGGGCTGATACTTAAGGAGCTATCAACGGAGCTGTCGAAGCCTCTTTCGACGCTCTTTGAGCTGCCAATGAGAACAGGAAGGCTGCCCTCACAGTGGAAGACAGCTAACCTCGTTCCATTGCATAAGGGAGGTAGCAGGATGACAGTAAGCAGCCTTAGGCCTATTAGCTTAACTTGCCTCCCTTGCAAAACGATGGAAGCAATAGTAAAAAGCGCTATACGGCAATTTTGTTAAGAAAATAACATCTTGCAGGATTTTCAACATGGCTTCCGGAGAGGACGTTCCTGCCTCTCAAATCTGCTATCTTGTCTGGAGATCTGGACCAGGGCTGTAGAAGAGGGTTTTGAGGTCGATGTCGTATACATCGATTTCCGCAAAGCTTTTGACACTGTCCCGCACCAACGTCTTCTTCACAAATTAAGCGTCATCGGCATCCGGGGAGATCTCCTGAACTGGATTAGGGCGTTTCTGGTTGGTCGGAAACAACGTGTCTGTGTCGGGGATGATATGTCAGAATGGGTGAATGTGACCAGTGGTGTGCCGCAAGGCTCAGTTCTGGGACAATTGCTCTTCATCCTTTGCGTTAACGACAGCCTTCAGGAACTCGACTTCGGCAAAATAATGTTTGCAGACGACGTTAAGCTCTGGCAAGTCATTAAGGGACCGAATAATCAGAGATTCCTTCAAGATTATCTGCACCGACTGCAAGCGTGGTCGAAGAAATGGCTTCTAGATTTCAATCTGGAGAAGTGTGCCGTCCATCATCTGCGTCCAACCAACTCTCATTCAAATGAGAGCCTGAGGACATATCACCTGATAGATATAAGGCTCCCCGCAGAATCTTCACAGAAGGATCTCGGGGTTTGGATACAGAACAACCTGAAACCAACACTGCAGTGCCACAAGGCTGCAAAAAACGGCATGGGAGTGCTGCATGCAATAAAAAGGGCTTTCGTTAACTTTGACCAAGACCTTTTTGGGAGAGTTTACGGCACTTTTGTTCGACCCCACTTAGAATATGGCATACAAACATGGCGGCCGTGGCTAGTAAATGACCAAGCATGCCTCGAACGAGTACAACGGCGTGCAACAAAGCTGGTCAACGGTCTATAAGGCCAATCCCACACAGAAAGATTAAATTGCCTTAATTTATTCCCTCTGTGTTACAGGCAGCAAAGAGGTGATCTTATCCTCGTCTACAAGATAATACATGGCCTTGAGTATGGACTTAAATTTGAGGACATGTTTCAGTGGCACCTTTCACCCAATCTTCGTGGTCACTCGATGAAGTTACGGACAACAATGTCCAGGCTGAATCTTCGTTCTGAGTTTTTCACGCAGAGGGTAGTGGAGAAATGGAACGATCTCCCTCAGTCAGTCGTGGAGGCTACATCCCTGCAACTCTTCAAGAAACGTCTGGATGATTATTTGTGTCCCCTGTTTTCCCTCGACAGTCTGAATGTGAATTAATACCCCTGGTCCAGACAAATATTTTCTCTGAGACAATGCTACTCAAATGAACCAAGTACTGTTTTAATAGTGAACATTTTTGTTCGTGTACAGTTATTTCTAACGAGATGACATGTAGTCAATAGGTTTTCAAAGGCTTTGCCTATTATCCTTACCAAATAAACTGAAAAAACTGAATGAACGTTAGTTAGAAATCCAAAGCCTTTAAACCGACAAGACGACCGCCAAGACAACGAGCCCGTGGCTCGGTTGTTAGAGTCGTTGTACTTCTAACTATCAGGTCGCACGATCGAGCCGCAAGTGTTCCACATTTCGGGGCTGGTGATGAGAATTCGAGGACGGCCAAAAGCCAGAAGCGACTATTCCAGTCCCTCTTGTCTTCGTCGGTAATACCATTCTGCCTGTACATCAAACTTCAAGTATCCAAGTTCCAGCGTAACATTGGATGCTGTGCACCGACAAACCATGTAGGCGGATTAATTCAGTACTGCGATTCACTTCGTTTATTTTACATGTGAAGTACTGCGCAAGAGGCTGTACTGCAAAGCGGCAGTGTTTACTGATTACGTGAAAGTATGAAGTGGAATCGGGGACCCCGTCAACAAGGATAGACTTAGATAATCCCAAATCGTTTGGCAAAGTTGTCAAATCATTAAATTAGTCGAAACAACGTCTGTAAGTTTACCGGCCCTGCCCGATCTGCCAGCACAAGGAACATATTTTGTGACGGATAGGCTTAACAAGAGATGGCAGTCCCAGTCTGCTAACAACGAACTCGTTTAACCTAAACACACATTGCTTGAAAGTGGCAAAAAGCGCAACGATCGTCTTGCATGCCATCAAGCGAGCATTTATGGACCATGCTGGAGATCTCTCCGAGATTTTCGGATAATCGGCAACATCACATTTGAAACGGGACATAAAAATCTGGAGACCAATTGCGACTCAAAATTATAATTGTTTTAAAAGAATCCAAAGGAGAGCCACGAAGATGTTTGTGAGTCAAAAGTCCTTTACCCATGCAACCTACTTAAGTAATCTGAGCATCTTCCCCTTCGGTAA